AATGTCACCTTTTAATATATCTTTTGGTGGATTCTAGTGTTTATAATGAATGCTATGTTTAAAACAAATTATAAATAATAATTCATAACAAATTAGTTGAACGGTAATTGCATTTCAATAATGATTTATACTTTTATACAAAGAGCCCACATAACTGACTGTATAGAATTGTTTAATATTATTCATTTCAACAAAAATTTAATGGATTTATATATGAAATTGTTTCTAATTAATGAAATTAAAAGTTAAAGATCAGTAAAAGTGGATTATGTGAATGGAGTAAATGTACATGCTATTTAAATCCACAAATAAATCAATATAATATATAAAATGATTTGCAATTTACACAATAGATTCTATTTGATAGACACATAGACTTAATAATTAAAAGATATCCTTCAACTCTGCTTTCATAAGACTGTTTGCTATAAATACAGCAATTCATATGAAAGCAAAGTCGAAGGAAACATTTTGATTACTAGGTTTGCATAGAGTTCGTAGTGTTTGACATGGAGTGAGAGATGTATAAATATCTATGATCTGGGTTTGACTTAAGTCTCATGAAATAGTGTATGACATACACTGTATGTACAGTATTTTCAATTTTAAAATTAAGTAATATTTATATCAATATATTCTTACAATACTAGGTTTAACAACTCTTTTGAATTGTCCTGGATTAATCTAACAGTTCTTGAATTCATAAAATGTATAAACTTTCGTATAAGTTTATTGTGCCGTATTTATTAATATAATTTTTTACTGGCAATAGAAATTTCTAATTTTCTAATTGATATTATTAATGAATTGTTCCTATTAATTACTTGTCACACTCACATTGTCAGTATTTATAAGTAGTCCACAACAAAGTAACAAGGATATATTGTACTATTTTGATTTTGATTTAATTATTAACTTATATAATTTAGTAATTTAGACATTGAATGTAAGAAAATGCATATTACATGTGCAAATTATCATCAATAAAATACATATTAATATATATTTTATTTTCATATGGTGTAAATTATAAGAATGATTCACTATTATGTATATTTTCACAACAAAGGATATTTTATTATG